TGTTTTAGTTATTTTGTTATTTATTATTAAAAAAGGTGACAGGGTTGCTAGATTTTGAATAACTCGCTTTTTTGGCAGTCTTGATTTGGCCTCTTTCCATTTGTTTATTACTGTTTGTTCGTGTTGCAAGCTGTGCACCATCTTACGTTAGTGTTAACACTTTTAGTAATGTAAACACAAGTATTGTTAGCATTGTAAACATAAGTAATCAAATACATTGTTTGCAAGAATCTCAAAACACAATGATGCCAAATGGCTTTAAAATACAACGGAAACAGTAACCCGGAAATTTAGGCAGTCCCGAGCTTGTAGCGTTCCCTAGTGTAGAAAACACTATCCATATAGTAAGAATTTAGTTATCATTTTGCAGTGTTTAAGGTGAATGCATAAAAAAATGGCATTATAACATACTAAAAGTGACATTAGAACATTTTCTTCTGTTCAAACGTAGTATTGTAGGGTTTTTTATGAAAAAAAACTCATCTGCAAGGTCTACTAAAGCCAAAGACAGTAATTTCACTTCGCTCGGAGTTTATGTATGGTTCCATAATTAGAGCAGCATACTTTTCGCAAATAAAAATAACCATTTGTCGTGTATTTAGCAGTTCGAGGCTATGTGTATAAACTATCATATCAAGCATGCGCAGTCGAATCTGTACTTTCCATCTAAATCTCAGTTTAGATTCCTCACCTGCTAGTGTTGCGTTAAGATGCATCTTCTGTATTCTAAAGTCCCGCAGTGGACTGATCGTTAAGACACGGTTCCGAGCAGATCACCGAAGTTAAGCATCAATATCTGCGGTCAGTGTGCGGGAGGGTGACCACTTGGATCAGTCTGCGTAGGAATCAAGGGTGAGCGGTATTGGTCTTCGTTAAACTGTTCTACCGTAAAGTGCTCGACTTCGCGTGCAGTTCGTTACGCTACCGAAGCGGGTGTGCCATCCCCTCTTCAGAGGATCAAAATTGTGATGGCATGTCTTTTGGATCATCCTCATGGATGTTTCCCAGACCGTCGCCAATAGCCCATTGAGCAGCTCTAGGGCGACGTAAATGTACTACAACAATTTGTATTCTAAATTTTAAAATTATTGATAAATTGGTATATATAAGTGTTTATTCCTTAAACCCCATGCTGCCGAAGAGCAAAAAAAAAATTTTTTTTTCAAACTTTATATCAGTTGAGATTAAAGTTATGTCCCTTGCTTGCTTGAAAGTCATACAATAAATTTTCATTATTATTTACATGATAATAACTGTTCCCCAACAATACTGTCTTTCCAAGAATTATAACAATGATCTCTTATAATAGGCGTGTGCATGGTTTATTCAGACGCAATAATGAAATAATAATTTAATAGGATCGAAACAGGTGAGCCACTTCGGTAATCAAATCTAAGATACATAATAATTTCACGAAAACTGATGCGCGTGATATTTTTTTAACACGGCGGATCCTAATTTTTATTGTTAAATTCATCTTCATATTTTTTCCTGCTCTGCAAGATGAAAAAAAGATATAAAGCTTTAAAAAATGAACGTTTTCCTTTTAGGGGTCCAAACGGCCCCTTTTAACTGTGTTAGGCACTTCCATTATTACATATTTTACTAATTATCAGAAAGACATGAAATTTTCATATAGTACACTTAAAAGCAATTTAGGAAAAGTAAAAAAAATATGAGCTTCGAGGCTCATGTGTATCTTCAACAACAACAATTAAATTATTAAATAATAATACAAAATAATTAAAAAACCATATGAACTGGCAAAAAACGATCAAAATGTCCCGAACGGCCCTTCTAGTGTTAAAGACAAGGAAAAAAAAAGGAATAAAAAAATGGTTAGGGTTTGGAAAAGATTATCTATAAATCACATTTGAAAGGTTTTATATAATTTACGATATTTCTTTTTCTATAACTGAAGAAGTTTATGAATGTTAAATGGCATTTTAAAAACATTGAAATGTGTATTTTTAGGAATATGTTAGATATTGTATGAATCAGTGATTAAAAAATCACTTCATTTTTCCAAATGTTTAAGTTGCGTAGTTTTTTGGATATTTGCAAATAGCATCCTAATGGTTCCATGCATTCTGAAACTTATTTTCGCAAATTCACCATAACATCATTCAACACGTTCTTCAATTGCAATCCAAATACATATTTGTATCCAAATATTGCTATTCTTTATATTTTTTTCTTTTAATTTACAAACTTGTTTTTTGATTTTTACCACCACTTTATACATCTGATACCATATTCCCTTTTTACCGAATGAATCTCCTTTTACTGCAGCAAAAATAAGAACAGAAAATGTATTTTATCCAGTTCATACTGACCAAAATGTTTAATTTCCTCAACTCCAAATATCTGGTATCAAAATTTTAACTTTATAGTTAAAGATAACTTCACTATTACAATATTGATGCTACAGTTATCTTACTGTTTCATATGGAAGTCCTGAACAATGTTAGAATATTTACAAAAAAATGCTTACTTGTACAAGCATAAAGCTCTTATCAAAACACCAAGTTTAGCACAGTGTAATTGATGATAAAAATTTTATTGGCTTCAGAAAAATATGAAGATTAATATAAAAGTTAATGGGTTTCGAGTGCTCAAAACTAAGCATCCAAGGTCAAGCCTGAATGATTTTATGACAAGAATTTTTCAATAAAACATGGCTCAAAATGTCTACTTCCATTATAATCATCCCACCTTTTGAAGTCAATGAAGTTTTTATCTTTTCACTTCAGTTTCTTAAAATTATTCATTGAGTAACACAGTATACTAAAAAACTTATCATGATCTTGAAATAAGTTTTACGCAAGATAAAAGCATACACTCTTAGATTGAAAAAAAAAAGGTAATTAGTCAAAACTTTCTAAAAAATGACAAAAATTTTTTTTTACTGCTAAACTTTTTAGAACAGCATTTTTAGAGACGTCAAAAAACTCCGTTTGCAATTGAAATTTCAAAACTTGAATGAGACAATGGAATGTCACCTATCAACATGAACCTAAGTTAAATACTTACAAGAACAATTATTTCAAGCAAGTAAACGTTTTCATTCTACTCAAAATTGTTTGAAAATGCATTTTTTATTTATCGATTCCAAAATTTATTCTAGATATATTTTAGGGTACACTTTAGGCATACTTTCCATAAAGTTTATTAATACACTCTTTATTCTTTTTTCTTATTCATTTGAAATTATAGAAGATATATGATTTAATGCATCCATAGTATAAAAGTAAACAATGATTCCAACACAATTCCTTATCAAAGATGCAACTATCAATAAATAGTGAAAAAAAATATTTAAATTGTTCGTTTTAGCTTTAAAATAATAAAATGTTTTGTTCCATTCTGGTATTAACGAAATTATTGAGAAGGTTTTTTTTCGCAATAGCATTCTTATCCTCTTTTGACAAAATATACATTTATATAAAAAAATTGTAATCAAAATTTCTATCAAAAAGTATGTTAATTCTCTCACTCCATTATTATTTTTTTTTTATCAAATTAAGATCTAACGTACGTATTTTTCCCCCTACTTGTTTCAAATCTTGTATATACATTTTGGCATTTCTGCACTATATTTGTTTTCTTTTCAAGATAGAAGATCATAAAAAAGGTTGCTATAAAATGCAAATGAAAGAAAAATCTTATTAAAATAAAATTTTATAGCAGAAGATATAATATTCTTTTTTCTGTATTGTGTTCTTGAAGCTTATCTGAAGTTGCATTTTTCTTTGTCAAATCTGTGTAAAATGGTAATTATCAAGCATAAATGAGAACTTATGATAGAAAAAAATAAGAGTACTAGTAAATTCAGAATAATGTCTCATTAGTGGCCACTGGCAAAAATGTTACTGGGACACGGTTAAGCAATGAAATGTTTAGATTATCCCCAAGTATTATAACTATTGTAAAATAAAATACAAACAACTTATTAAATACCTCTACAGAAAACAGACTTTCACAAATATCATACTGAAAAAGCATCAAGACCTTTATTCTTCCGTCATACACTTATTTTTTCTTATCAAACAAAACAAAAAAAAATCATAGAATGATTGTTGCAATGAGTATGATAAAATATATATGAGCGATAAATGTATTAAAAAGACATTCATATGTTACATCTGTACAACATTCTAAGGTGGAATCATTAAAGGAGCTCTCATTGTGGGTCCTGCCATTGGCCCAACAGGCATCACAGAGGCAATTCCAACAGGTGGCCTCATACCTATATTGGAAGAAAAAAATTAAAGTTACAATATATAATTCTTTACAGGAAAGGTGGTCGAAATTAAATACAGTAAAACCTTGATCAATTATTTCTTATGGAACCATTCATTGTGAATAGATACGAGAAAACAACAAATGCATGTCCACATAAAATATAAAATATTTATTTCAAAAGTTTGGCTTTTCAAAAATATTTACTATGTCAAAAATATGAATTAGCACATTTATTTAAAATATTCGGAAATTTCAGACCGAACACACTCTCTTACCCTCAGCACCATAGGCGTAGCGTAAGGGGGTGGAGATACTTTTTGTTAATTGAGAACTGTTCATTTATTTTAAGTTTTATTTATACATTGGTTTTTCATATGTACGGATATTTACTTAAAAACGTATGAATAAAACTTAACATAAATGAACAGTTTTCTAAAAACAAAAATCCTGCCTCCTCATGCTACGCCCATGCTCAGCACCCGCAATACATTTTCAACTTTTGTAACAGATTGCAGTTAACTTTCTGTAAGTTTGTGCGATAATATAAAAAGTTCCTCATTGTTTCAATGGATTCTAGGCCTTGTACAAATATTGTTCTCTGGTTATGGTTCCTATTCACTGTCTTCCTCGCTATTATTTAACACTTCTTCAATCACATTTCTTGAATTGACAAAAAAAGTTTTAATAGTGATTGACTAGTTAGTGATTTAAAAGGGCATTATTACAAGAATAGAATGTGCCAGAAAAGTGCTCTCAGTCTATCAAAAAACTGACACTTAAGTATACAGTAAACTACTGATTATCCGGTTTGCAAATTATCCACGCTTCACTATTTCTTTTCTTTTTCTTTTGCAATGATGAACAATATAGAATCTAGAATTGAAAATAGATGCATAGAGATATAACTATTTAAAGAGTTTTGAGAACAACATACAAGCAAACATTCATGTTCGTTGCCCAGGTGCTCACAATTAATCAAATAATGGGTTGACATATAAACATTATAGTTTCAAGTGCAATACCTAAGTAAAAAGGGGCATTAAAAGGGTGAAAACACAATCATAAAGAGGATGACAACATAGGGTATGATTTACAGCTGCCAACTATAAATGCAGAATGAAGTTCAAATTTCAATGAATAGATTCGGCACCAAAGCATTTTTTCTACTAGATCGTATTGTTATTATTCAAAGCAATGATATTGATAGCAAGAATAGAAAGTTAGTTTTTTCCATCTTGCCTTCGTATGATAAATGGACATGAATTATCCTGTCATTTATTTAGTTAATATGTAACATATTCCTGGAACTTATACTTTATTTTAATCTGTTAAAAAATTGATAACTAACATGCAAGGGTGGTCCTCACACAACACTTATACCCCTAAAAGGAAAAGTTACACATTTGTTTAACTGCCAACTTTTAATCCTTTCCATTATGATTTTTCCCAGTGGTATTAAAAAGGAATTAAAATTTCAATTTTAAGCAAAAAATACGTTGTTTTTGAAAAAGCTTAAGCTGACAACTATGATAATAATACATATTAATATATATGCTTAATGTTTTTAAGAATATTGGTAATCAAAATTATTTAAACATTAAGTTTATAAAAGAAAAATTAATAAATATTTACTACCACTTTAAATATGAAAATAAAATTTTACGCCAAATGCGTAAAAGTGCGTATGCACTTGTTACCAATAAGAGTTTCTGAAAATCATGTATGTGCAGTAACTCTTTGCAAGAACCAATTTTTGTGTTAACATTGTTTTGTGTGTTCTTTTTCCAACAGCGCATGAACTTCCAAGTTATAAGTCTGTTTGTGCCTGTTTTTATTCAGCATCCTGCTCTCCAACACGAAGAAACAAGAAAAAATTGGCAGGCTTTTTCATACAGAAAGAAATAAAAAAAAAATTATAAGTAGAAAATGTGAATAAAACTGCCAATAGATATTGAAATTTATCATTTACATTACAAATATTTGCTGATGGGTGCATTACTTAAGCGTTTTATGGATCATCCGTGAACTAGCTTATTCGCTCTGCTTTGGACTCTCAATTCCGCGGATAATTGAGAGTTTATTTGTACTTTCTTTTCTCAGGGGTCTGTCTAGGTTTTTCTGAGAGGGGCCCAATTTTGTGAAAATTTAAATGTAGTTTGTGAAAAATTAAAAAATATATTAAAAAATTAACACAAAAATATGGATTTATAGTTTCTTACGGGATGCAAAAATAAGATTTTAAGAAAAAGTATTCTGTGAAACTACCATTTTTCCTAAAGTTAAATTAGAGAAGGTTCCGCTAAACGGTAGTAAATTTGGCCTGAACAGACCCCTGTTTATTTTTTTAATATTCACTGCAAACAACAAAACTTCATAACTCCTTGCAAAAGAGGAAAAATATTTTTAATATACTAATATGAAAATTTCCCCAAATAAGAAATCTCAACTAAGATATCATAATAATTATGGCTAAATTATAATACTTAGCACCTCAGTCGCTTCAAGAAATCCANAAATTTTAATCCTTTCCATTATGATTTTTCCTAGTGGTATTAAAAAGGCATTAAAATTTCAATTTTAAGCAAAAAATACGTTGTTTTTGAAAAAGCTTAAGCCGACAACTATGATAATAACACATATTAATATATATGCTTAATGTTTTTAAGAATATTGGTGATTAAAATTATTTAAAAATTAAGTTTATAAAAGAAAAATTAGTATATATTTACTACCACTTTAAATATGAAAATAAAATTTTACACCAAATGTGTAAAAGTTGGCAGGTATGCATTTGTTACCAATAAGAGTTTCTGAAAATCGTGTATGTGCAGTAACTCTTTGCAAGAACTAATTTTTGTGTTAACATTGTTTTGTGTGTTCTTTTTCCAACAGCGCATGAACTCCCAAGTTAAAAGTCTGTTTGTGCCTGTTTTAATTCAGCATCCTGCTCTCCAACACGAAGAAACAAGAAAAAACTTGCAGGCTTTTTCATACAGAAAGAAATTTAAAAAAAATTATAAGTAGAAAATGTGAAGAAAACTGCCAATAGATATTGAAATTTATCATTTACATTAAAAATATTTGCTGATGGGTGCATTTCTTAAGCGATTTACGGATCATCCGTGAATTAGCTTATTCGCTCTGCTTTGGACTCTCAATTCCGCGGATAATTGAGAGTTTATTGTACTTTCTTTTCTCAGGGGTCTGCCTAGGTTTTTCTGAGAGGGGCCCATTTTGTGAAAATTTAAACGTAGTTTGTGAAAAATTAAAAAATATATTAAAAAATTAACACAAAAATATGGATTTATAGTTTCTTATGGGATGCAAAAATAAGATTTTAAGAAAAAGTATTCTGTGAAACTACCATTTTTCCTAAAGTTAAATTAGAGAAGGTTCCGCTAAACGGTAGTAAATTTGGCCTGAACAGACCCCTGTTTATTTTTTTAATATTCACTGCAAACAACAAAACTTCATAACTCCTTGCAAAAGAGGAAAAATATTTTTAATATACTAATATGAAAATTTCCCCAAATAAGAAATCTCAACTAAGATATCATAATAATTATGGCTAAATTATAATACTTAGCACCTCAGTCGCTTCAAGAAATCCAATACATTTCACGAAAAACAAATGTCATGATAAACTGCAGTATAATGCCTAACAGACGCTCCACAGGTAATTCAAGTGTTTTGGAAGTCAGTAAAATACAAAAACTACATAACACTATAATCTAAAAACTTAAAGCCACTTAAATAAATAATCTTTTTTAATGTTATAAAAATCTTAATACATAATTGTGATTATAAATAGAACTTACTTTAGATAGTTATTTAAACATTCTTTAATAAGTTTAAAAATGGAGAGTTCTGAATAAAAAAAATTGGACATTTCAGAGTAAGAAAGAAAAGCTTTAAACTCAGTACTGTAAATGTGGTTGACTTTATCTTTAAACAAAAATACTCTTTCATATAAATTAGGAAGCAATAAACTGAGTAAATGATCCACTTAGAAAGGGATCTTTTACAGAAATTTTCCCACTTTAAGAAAATTTTATAAGATAAGCTAAGATCATGAGCATTTTCAATTGAGTAAAAAAAATAAATTAAATGAAGTGAATTTTTAAAGAAAGAGCATATTCTCTGCTCACACTGTATGATTTATATTCGGAACTATATGATACGGCATTGATTAAACAAGCGTATTGTTGAAAACATTAGCAACACAAAATTCCTACTTATAAACAGAATTTGAAAAACATATTTTGTTTTTCTTTTTTAAATAACTTAACCCACCTGGGTTTATTATTATTTGGGTTTTTACTAATAACCCAAACTTATGTTCTCTAAAAAATATATAAAATTGTTATGGCTGAGACCTTAACGAGATTGCAAGGTTTGCTTCAAACATGAAATTTAAATACTTGGAAACTATTCATAACATGTTTTGTTGCAAAGTGACAATTATTTGGAAGTTTAGATTACAACACTATTATTTTTATTTCTTAATGAGAAACAGATTGTTAAAATAGAAAAATATTATATTTACCCTATTAAAATACCTCCAAATTTCCTATTGCATTAACACTAGTCCAAAGTCTATTGGAATAAAATTCAAACTTAATCATTCTTTAGATTACCATTGCAACTTAATATAAAATTTTGCTTTTTAAATTCCTATTCTACTTTTGATTACAGTAAATTTAGTTAAATGTTTTTCGCAGGATTGTTTAGTGAGATTGTGCAAAATTGATACCTAATAATAGTTTTGAATTCATTATTTGCATTGATTGCATAGATAACTTTATACTTTCACAATTTCAGTGATACTAAGGAAAAATTTAATGAAAAAATACCAATACGTATTCAAAAACGTAATGACGAGCCTATTTTATCCCTCTGGCTACCAATGGAACTCATTTGTCCCAACAAAAGTTTAAAAATTACAAATGGGTACTCGAAAAGCACTTAGAAACTCATTGTAATATGTCCCAGTCGTAGAGTCGAACCAAGTATTCGTGTTTCATGTGTCAAATATCCCTTAGATGGCGCATAAGAGTTTCTTGCACGAAATAGTATTGTGACTTAGGGCTGGGATAGATATATCCCACTCATATTCTTCATTGGGATTGTTATGTCCATTCATATTTTCACAAATGAACATAGAAAAATAACTTGTTGTCCAATGTGTAATGTCGGGTTATGCAAAGATTGCTTTACCCTGTATCATACCATGTAAAAAAAAGTCCATATAATAAATTTTCAAGGAATGATAGATGTGCTTGTAGTAAGTCTATCACTACAGGTGGGACATATGTATCCCACCATTAAGTACAGCTAGGTCATATATGTCCCAACCTCTAAATTGATAACCACTTGTCAGAAAATTCCCAAATACTAAATTTGTGACCTATTTTGTCCTTTTGAATAATAAACGGGACAAAAAAATCATTTTTTAAAATTCATAGTGAAAGGGTTAAAATGGGTGACATTTTAACTTAGCGACTAAAAATTTTAACATTTGATCAAAATGTATCAACACATAAATATAACATTATTATATAAGATATACAAAATGATATCTTACCAGGCATCATCATATTGTGAGGACCAGGAGCTCCCATTACGGGCATTGGACCTCCCATTGGTGTGGGCATAGGTCCCATTGGAGGTGGACCCATGACCGGCATGCGTTGTCCAGGGGCAACCGGTCTTGGTCCTAGATACGAACAACAATTAAAAACTTCGATACATTTACGACAGAAATATAACAATCCTCTAAATATGCAAATTATTTAAAAGTATTAAAATTTTAAACTTTGAAACAATTATTTTTGAATAAAAACTGTTAAGATATCCTATATTTACTAGCAGTCACACAAAGAAGCATCCAATATAAGTTTTAAATCTAAAATCTTTAATAGAATTAATTACCAATCACTTCACAAAAAATCCAAAAAATTCCCTTTAACACATACAAAATAATAATAATAAAAAACTTAGGTATAGAAATTAAAAATGTCTAATTTGAAGATGCCCATTGCAAAAGTCTTTATAATATGTACTAAAGTCTATACTTGAAATGCTATGAAAAATGCACATTTGTGAAAAATGTAGAAAGATGAGATTTTTTATCACAATGAAACGAAAACAAATAAAAATAACTCACAACTATTTCAACAGCAGTAAGACTAGAAAATGGTTTGAAAATTTATCAAATCATTATAACATTAAACAACTTGAAAATCATAAAATATTGTCCCAGAAGACTTCATCAATGTACTATTACAAGGACCATTATTCCATTAAAATTTTTTTAAAAATAAAAGTAGTTGTCACACACATTGTTTGGTGATACTTAAAGAAAAGGCAACCTTTCAGAAAAACACCAAATACTATTTCCATCATAATAGATCTACTTTCTTTTATTTTTTTATTTTGACCATTATCAGTAGACAAAAAATGAAATATCCTTCAACATTTACTTAAGTCACTCTTGCAATTAGAAAAGTAACACAGAGCTTAAATTAGCTAGCTCAACAGCTATAAAAGATATGTTTCCTATTCGCAAATTTGTCTAATCCAAATAAAATAAAATAAAAAACAGTTTCGCTCTCAAAGCAAATAAGCTTGTTAAACATGATCGAAATTTAAAAAGGTTAATAGAATCAGAAGGAACTACAACAAAACTTTAATTAAATTGCGGCGGTCACTTTACTTTGATAAATAATTTATTATGGAATATAAATTATAGAATTTTCTAATGAAATGAATATTTTATGATATCATTGAGTTTAAAAAATTTGGAAAAAATATTGAAGAGTATAATTTGTTCCATTTCCGTTAAAGTATTTTTTATTCTTTAAAATTTAATAACTTTCCATTTAATGAAAATTTCAAAAATATATTAAAAATCCTTTGGTTAACAGCTTTATAGAAAATAATCAAGGTTAGATAAAATATTCTAAAATGTGTGAAATTATAATAACAACTGACTGGCAAAAAACTTTTTTTTAATCATTTCTAAATAAAATTTTTAAAACAATCCCACTCAGGTTTTTTTTAAGCAGAAGGGTGAGGAAATATCCTTGATATTTACAAATATTGACAATTTTATCACAATATAGCCAAATATTTACAAATTAAAATTTTTTTTTGAACAATAAAGCGTATTGATAATACCTTGAAGACCTGCAGGTGGTGGAATCATTACCCCAGCAGGCTTCCCTACATTGGGAAACTGTGCAGATTGAATCTTCCCTGCTTTGAATGCAGCAGCTAGAAAACAAACATGACTTTATAAAATCAAAGCTATAATACAGAATTATGATTATGTGAGAAAATTTAAAACAGAACTATAAAGCAAGAGACATATTTTTGAGAACTAAACGTACTTGTAGCATCAATTAAATATTGAGCTTGGTCCTCCATCCATTTCTGATAATAAAACTTTACATTATCCCGATGCTTTCTCCCATTGCAGTGTGTTTTACGCACTGAAGGCTGAAAAAAAAGTAAATATGAAAAGATTTATATTAAAAAAAAACTCTATAATATTTTAATCAAATTATCATCAAAACATTTTAAAAACACAACTGAAAAAATATACACAAGCAGTGAACATTAGTAAATCACAGAGGTAATGAAAGAATAAAAATGTAACACCAGGGCCGTAACTACGCCGGGGCAACCGGGACACCGACGGTCAAGGGAGGCCCCATATGAAGAGACCACATCATGTTTTTTCAAAATACAGTACTCTAATTATATATATGTAGGAAAGAAATTGTGTTAAGATAGAGTTGCTGAAAATTTTTCTTTTTTGTAATTACGTACCTACTATAACATAAAAGAAAGGGTAAAAAACGGTAGAACACCTTTTCGCGAATTATTTCCCTTTCTCAAAAGAACAAACACACTTTGCAGAGAAGAGGAAAGGCCACAGCTGCATGTAGTTGATTGTTAACACTTTTTGTATATTGCACTTCTGGTTTGCTTAGTTGTTTCCTCTACTATCTAGCGTCAGACCCAGTGGCGTGCCAACCAGGCGGAGGCAGAGGGCCCCTCTAAAATTTAAGTGATAGGGCAAACGATGCGCTTCGCCCCTCCTGAAATTTAGGCACTCACAAAAATAAAGTAAAATCAGTAATTTAGATTTTTTTTTTCAATTTTGAAGCTATTTTTGAAATAAGAAAACCTTAATATTCCATTAACATTTATGTGCTTTGCCTCTTCTGATATTTAGTTATTCGCCAAGACGAAGTCCATTAAAATAGGTAATTTTAGAGAAGAAAAAGAAAGCTATTCTTTCTCAGCTTTGAAGTTATATATCAAGTAGGAAACTTTATTTTGTTATAGGCGATTAATGTATTTTTTGACTTTTGGAAAAGTAAAATGAAAGTGGAAAAAATATTTTATTTCCAATTTTCGCTCTATTTTTTCTTCAGAAATAGTAATGAGGGGGCGAATATAGTGTTTCGCCCCTTTCGAAATTTCGAAGTGCTAAAAAATAATAGAAATTGGTAACTAAAAAAAATTTCATCTTTGAATCTATTTTCTAAATAGAAATTTTTTTCTTCTTCTGAAATAAAAGTGAGGGGGAAATTTGGACTTCTGAAATTTAGACATTAATAGAATAAAATCAAGTAAAGTAGGAGATTTTAGAAGAAAAAAATTGTAACATAATTTTAACATAACTTCGAAAATTTTTTCTTCTGATATAAAGTAAGGGGGACTAAAATGTATTTTGTATCTTCTGAAATTTAGACGTTTGAAATAATAAAGTCTAGTAAAATTGTTTTTAAAAAATAAAAAAAAAAAAAAAAGCTTTGAATCTATCTTCCAAAAAAAAAAAAAACTCTTTTTCCCCTCTAAAATTAAAGTGAGGGGGCGAAGAATATACTTCACCCCTTCTGAAATTCAGACATTTGCAGGAATAAAGTCAAGTAAAATTTATACTTAACTCTTATTTTCGACTTTAAAAGCTATTTTCCAAATTGAAAACTTTATTTTCCTCTGAAATTTAATTGAGATAGAAGATAATGTGCGCCACCCCTTCTGAAACTTGACATTCGCTACAATAAAGTAAAATAGAACTGAGAATTTCAGAAAAAGAAACTACTTTTTTTCCAATTTACTAGTTATTTTCCAAATTGAAGTAGAAATCCCCCACACAAGAAAAATACTTCTGCTTTGTTTAAATTTTTTTCTATATATTACGAATTTTAATTTATTAAAAAAATTTAAAACTAAAACACGAAAAGAGAAGAGGAGCACATCATAAAAAAACATAACAAGTGTTTAGAAAACTAAAATAAGTACCACTGTTTCGCGTCCTGAAAAATGCATCTTTTGACTGTGGGTGGTATGAAGGTTCTTCATACCACCCACAGAGTTGACCCACAGTTATCTGACTCCTCAAAAAATAATCTCCTTTTACACCATGGGAAAATGACCTTTTGCTTCTTTAAATTGCCTTATTCATTTTTATGATCCTGGGCTCTTTTGTGCTTTCATAAAATGTCATATATTTACAGTACCATCTATATGTCCCTTAAGTTGTCTTAAACTAGCAATTATCTAGATGTTCTAGGAAAATAGATGTAAGCTTTTAAGGGATCCAAGGGAATGACTCTTGTTGACATTTACTTAGGACATTTTGTCAAGAGATTTTTCTGAGACAAACGTAAAACGTTTCAGTTAAATTCCAGTTTTTAGCTCATTTAATTGCGTCATTTAAATTAACCATTTTTAATTCAGATATAAATTTTCTGTTAGCTTTTATTTTATTCAATTTTTGAAATTAAAATTTAACTTTAATTAAGAGTTATTGAAATTATTTGCAACTTCATTTTTTTCAAACATAAATCGTGATATCAACAATTCCCATTCTTAATAAAAATTTTCTTTGGAAAGCAGCAAAACCAAATGTAAATTTATTTATCAGGAGGTAAGTAAATGTTTGCATTAACTCATTTAATGCATTTAAATGTTATATTTATATACTATTCGAATTCTTTTATAAAAATGGTAACATAAAAATTGCTTTTTTTTATGTTCGTATATAAAATTTAATTTGTATAGTAAATACTTTAATTGATAATTTTACCGTTTATTGGGTGCATGGATTTTGTTCTTATTTTATATTTTTCAAATTATTAACACCTTTAAATTTTTTAAAATGGAACTTCGAATTTTTAGGGTTTTTAACAACTTTGTTTTCATTAAAAAGTGAAATGCAATCTTCATTTAATATAAAAAAATCATATTTAATTTAATAACGGAACGCATTTAATTTAATAAAAAAGCTATGAACATCAGCTTAGAAATCCGCAGCAATTAAAATTCATTTCCATGACAAACCATTAAAAATAATTTTTTTTAATTAGCAAATATGCTTTGAGTTTTTCTCATTTTTCTTTCATAAAAAAAACTATTACTCTTCGTCATAATTTTGTCATATATGATTTCATGGCGTCATGAATATATAGGCCAAATATTTAAAAAACGATTTTCTAGGGACCTGTCCATATTAGAGAAAGGCAACTTTGTTTTTGTTAATCGATGTATATAGAGAAACAATTTCTGAATATTTTTTCAATTAGGACTATAGATCAATTAGGAATATTTTTTCAATTAAAATGTGGGTACATGTGCAGATAGAAAAAAAAAGTCTACAATTTCCTTCAGTTTCCATAACGCGATCAAAAACTTTTAGATTTGAAACTAAAAAATAATTTT